CCCCGGCCTCATGCCCCCGTCCCCCCATCAGAGCTGGCTGTGCCCCAGTCCTATGCCCCTGTCCCCCCATCAGAGCTGGCTGTGTCCTGGCCCCATGCCCCTGTCTCCCCATCAGAACTGGCCGTGCTCTAGGCCCTGTCCCCGTGTGCACCAGTGTGTGATACGCAGTGAGTGCTCAGCAGCTTTCGTGGGACATTTGACCCTGGGCTGAATGAACCCACCCTCTGGAGCTTCCAGGCTAGCGGGCAGCGCGGGGATCTGGGGCCTTACGCAGAGTCTGCGAAGAGCATGAGCTGCTCCTGACGGCCCTCGCTGTTGTGCAGCAAGTTCACCAGGAAGGGGTACGGCACGGATGAGGTGCGGTTGCTGCTGCCCGACATGGGGAGCTCCGAGGGCTCCATCTTCTGGACCTGGATGTGTTCCATCTGGGCGTAGTCCTGGACTGCATAGCAGTCCTCACTGTTGGGGACAGGTCATACATAGATCAGACGCCACAGCCACAGACTGGGGGCAGGCAGCCTCGGAGGACCACCCTCAAGCTCCATCGGCAGCAGCCGGGGCCTGGCTCCACCGGGTCGTGCAGGGGGTGCTGCCTCCCACCCCCACCCAGAGCCTGGAGAATGGAGGCTGACACAGTCAGGTCACGCGGTATCACAGGCAGATGAAGCAGAAGCGGAGGGGGGTGTGACCGAGCAGATGGCCTCCTACCCTGGCCCCAGGCCCACCTCTTCTTCTTGGTGACCACCAGGACATCATTGAACAGGAACAAGTAGGCAGTCGGCCGGCTGGCAAGCTTCCTGAAGAGCCCAGTGTCTTCTTCCACCAGGAAGAGCTCTCCTCTCTTCAGCAGCCACCGGGAGGCGGAAGTGATTGGGAGGGACTGGGGACAGGGCGGAGGGTGAGCAAGTGCCCCAGTGGGTATGGCCCAGAAGGACTGTCCTTGGGGCCCCAGCTAGGTAACCACTCCTGTCCTGAGAACAGTGACCCAACACTCTGGCTGGGTAGGAGAATACAGCTACATCCAGCACCCACACAAAGGGCCATTCAGGTGGCCAGCAGCCCTGGCTCGGCCTCAGGGCTTGCTAAGCTCCTGCTGTGTGCGCTGTGTGAGCTGGGGGCAAACCCATCCGGAGTTCAGCACAGGGGCAGGGAGGGTGTCTGCCTGGGACAGCCCTGCCCTGGTGTGCTGGGCTCTGCCCTGCCCCAGGGTTTGTACACAGGACTGCTGGATCATAAGGGGCACCGGCTCCCACAGCACTCAGGCTGGGCCCAGGCTGGGGTGGATCTTCCCTCCCATCTACAGGGCTAATCTTGGGCTGTGTGACTGGCATGGGCCTACGTCAGCCAGGTGAGAGGTATCAGAAAGGTGAGTGGGCCAGACCAAGTGCTGGTGGGCGTACAGGACCAAGATGCAGATGGAGGTAGGGGTCGGTCCCTTTGGGACAAAGAACACATGAAGCACTTAGTGGTGGCAGAGGACAGGTGGGGTGGGAAGCCTAGTCACACAGAGCTCTCTATAAAGGGGGTAAAGGAGGCATTAAAGGGTAGTGGGCCTCTGAGGGGAAGGGGAGAAAACAGTGTAGTCAACACCTGGTGCCAACTCTTTGGCCCGACCCTGACCTCTTTCTTGGTGGACCCACATCCCATCAAGCTTCCAGCCTCCTCACTGAGGCCTGAGAGGACACGGTCCCTTCCTCATGTGCTGCCCTGAGAGGCCATATTGGGCCTGCAGCCTCAGACCCTTGACTCTGAGGAGGACGCAGACATTCACAGGTGAGTCCACTCCTCGCCTCCCCAACCTTCCACAGGAGCACCTCTGAGAGGGAGTGGAGGCTGGAAGACCAGGGCAAAGGTGGGGGCACTGGTGCACTGTCTGGGGCGGTGGAGCCCTGGACAGCATAGAGAGGGGGCCAGCCTGTGAGATCACGGTGAGGGGTCTCAGGAGACCAGCTACTGGTGGGGAGAGGTCTGGGCCCTGCCTATCTGTGAAGGTGTCTAGGGTTGGGAGGCCCTCCCCCCTCCAGTACCTGGCCTGACGGGGAATGTGGATCCGGAGCTGGGCCTGTGGTTGCCTTGACGCTGGCCCTGGGCCCATCAGGGCCTGCTGCCAGCCCACTGGGAAGCTGAATTTGAGTGGCCAGTTGAGGCACAGGGACCCTTCCAGATGGGGCCAGTGAGAGGCATGTTGCCTGATGTGACAGCTGCCCTTATATGCCTGTGTAACCTTGACCTATGAAGTTTAACTCTTAACTCCCTGAGATCAAGCAGCCATGCCTGGAAGAGGACCTGGGGGCAGGGAGGGGCACACAGGCCAAGCTCACCTTGATCTTGCCAAAGTCAAGCTGCTTGTGCACCGTATACAGCTGCTCTGTGCGTGCCATGGTGTGCGCTCTCTCATTGCATTCCTTCACCAGCTACAAGCGGGGTGCGTGCATGAGCGGCTGTGTGTGCGATGAGGCACACACCTGCTCTGGGGTGGAAGGGGTGCTGGGCGCCGTCACAGCCCACCAAGGGACTGGGGTGAGCTCCATTCTTAGCTCTTGGCCTCAGTTCCCTCCTTACCCATCAATACCCCCTACACCACGGCCCCTTCCCCTAGTGTCTGAGAACTCTTTGGGGTGGTGGGAGGAGGTGACACTTGGCCTGGCCCGTGCCTAGACCCCGTCTCACCTTGCTGATGGCCTTCAGGGCGCGGCTGGCGGCCTTGTACCTCTCTTCGTGGTTCTGTGACTTGAGGCAGAGTGTCTGGAGAGAAGGCAGCACCATGAAAGCCAGGCGCCATCACAGGGCAGGGGTCCCCCCTCACCCAGAGCCCTGGGGGCTGTAGTTCTCAGGGGCTCCTGCCAGAGAACTGGTGCTCCCAGCCCCCAAACAGTGACCGCATTGTACTGCAGGGCTCCAGACAGGCCAGGCCACGTTGGGTGGGGTCCCTGGCACTGCCTTGATCCTCTCCATCCCGGCTAAGGAATGATCAGGCACCCAGGCAGCTCTCATGCCTTTTTTTAATCTCTAGTTCTCTTTCTATTTCTTATCATTTTTTTAAAGATTTTATTTTAATAATTTTAATGAACATGTACAGAGATTTTGGATTTCCATTCATTCATTGTTGCACTTTTCTCCCTGCCCAACCCTCTTTCCTCCTCACCCCCCCCACCCCAGTTTGCTCCTCTCTTTGAAAAGTAAAAGAAAAACTCTTTCTTTGGTATACAATCCCCCCACACCCCTCCCACCGCCCCAAGTACACTCCACTATGCAACCTTAATTGTGGACTCTTTTTTTTTCTGGCATATAGAAATTTATTAGTATGACATTTTCAAACTTTAAGATCTTGGTCGTTCCTTCTTGCCTTTGTATAAGGCCAAAAAGAGATACATTGGCCACTTAATTGTGGACTCTTGTGATAACTATAATACCCTATCATATATCGCTTTTAAATTATTCTCTCCCTCATCTGTTTTAATGCAGTATACACAATTTATCCAGTTTTTCTCACATCCCATATTTGCCCTGTGGGCTGACCATGCCACAGAAGCCCTGAGCCTGCTTCACCAAGGAAGAGCAGCTGACCCTCAGTGTGCTACTAGCCCCTAGGTCTCGGGGGAGAAAGGAGGCTATGAGGAGGAGAAAGCACCAGTCGGAGACCCTGCCAGGCAGCTCCTGGGCATCTCAGGTCCCACCCCATTGCCATGGGGACTCGGCGGAGGGAGGCATGAGGTGCAGGACTGAGATCCAGACAGACTATTGATCACTACGCTTAGGACAGCCAGTGGGTAACGGGACATTCACCACAGTTACGAGAACAATACAGAGGCAGAGGGCACACAGCAGCGAAGGCAGAGCAGGCCCAGCCCAGACTCACGTCCATCAGGAGGGGCAGCCGGGTGACCCTCTGCATGGGGAGGATGAGGAAGGAGATCATGGGCAGACCCCCGCACACAGGCCGGCGCTCAATCTCCCGCAGGGCTTCACGGAAGGGGACACTGCTGCTTCTGCAGGAGAGGACACGGCATTCCCGAAGTCGGGGGGGAGCTAGAGACCCCAGGATTCAGGTAGAACACTCATGAGACCAAGGGAGACGCCTGGACGGAGCACGTCCGAGTTCGGCACTCACGTCAGCCGCTGCAGGGTGCGCTGCTGGTAGACCTCGTTGGAGCAGTACACCACGTAGGCCTGGAAGTGGTGGTTGGCATGCTCCTCCAGGATGTCACTGATGTCCTCCACGCACATCTGCTCCTTGTGCCGCCGCTCCAGGTCCTCGAAGAACCTACGCAGGTGATTGCGGATGAGGGCACAGTCTGCTGTGGCACTGACACACATACACATATCATTTATAAAACACAGCACACGCAACATGCATACAGACACATGTACACACAGAGACAGGCATGTACTTATTCCCGAGTGCACGTGTGCATGTAGGCAACATGCATACAAAATAGGCTCATGTGTAAACACAAATGCACACACACGCTCATACAGCATGCGCCTGCAGGCGACAAGCTAGGTTCCCAGAGGTGGCTGGGCTCAGTGAGCCATTCATTGCCTAAACTGAATGGGACCCCAGGTAGGACCCAGGTCAGCACCCAACAACTGTAAGCCATGGCTAATCCCGGGACAATCTGTGAAAGATCAGCCCCATAAACCCAAAATAACTAGTGTGTGACTGTGGGCCTGACCTGAGGCCATGCTGGACTAGACATCTGGGTCAGAGAACATAGCAGAAGGGCCTCCTGCCTTGGTTGCCCAAGCTGAGGGCAGAACCACCAGGCCCTACCCACCTTGGTCCAGTTGACAAGGGTAAATTAGTTCCTGTGTCTTGCTGGAAGGGAACTGCGGGCCCAGGGAACAGGGGGAGGGACTCGCCTGAAGTCAAGAAAGTGCTGAGAAGTGACTACTGGGCCAACCTGGATGTTGGGTGAGGCCTCAGGCTCTGATGGTCAGGGCCACCTCCCAAGTGCACCAGGCTCCTGGGGACCCCCTCACAGTAGGCAGTGAACCCCTTGGCTGGGCTTATTGGAGGGGGGTTGAATGCGGTAAAGTGGCCCAGCCCTGGGTGCCCAGGGGCTCCTGGTGTTCACCAGCCCTGACCTCTCCAGTCTTGTGTCCGTCCCTCCGGCTGCAGGGACAAGTACAGGGACAGAAATGGTCACAAGCTAGTGGGAGACCCAAGCTGCCCAGCCTCCTGGTCAGAGGGGGGTACCCTAGAACTCTGAGGGGCTGAGCTTCAGATCTCAGCATGCAGGAGACCCATGTTCTCTGTGATGGCGTGAGGAAGCTGATGGTGCAACAAGGTGGGGAGAGGGTGGGGCCGACTTCCGCTTCTGGCTAGGCCTCCTCTGGCTCTTGGGCTACACGGACCTCAGTCTGAGGAGATGAGGATGGAGCGTCTGGGCCAGGTTGGCCAGGGCCACCAAATCCAATTCCTTAGCGCGCCCCTCCCCCAGAGCCTTGTGTCAGTGGGGCCCAGGATGACAGCTCCCTCTGAATCTTCTATCCTCTGGGGGCCCTCGCCCTGCTGGCCCCTCCTGAGTTGCTGGAACAGCCAGCACTCCTTCCACAGTTGATCCTGTGCTCAAGGCCCCATCCCTTGTCTGTGGGTTCTATGTTCGAGACCCTACTGATTTTTTGCTCATAATAACGCACAAGGTGACCTGTCTTGAGGATAAAGCAGTGAGGCTGACATCTGGAGGAGTGGTGGGCAGTCCCTCAAGGTGAGACACAGAGGCCAGCCCACTGCCTTCACCTGCCCAGGTGGGCAGCAAACAGTCTGGAAGTGCCTGGGACGTGTATGACAGCAGGACCCCAGACGTGGGGCCTGGATCTCTCCAGCTAGCCAGCCAGAAACACCCGGCAAGGAGAGAATGATCCTGAGTGCTCCGGGGGCGTGTTGAGTGAAGCCAGAAAGAGGTCACAGATTCCCTGGTCCCAGGCTGGTGGAGGTCTCCAGGGCTCCAATGGGGCCTTCAGGCCATTCTGCCCGAGGATGGGTTGGAGTCCCTCAGGCATCCCCTGCTCTCTGGCCTTGGCCTGACCTTCCATTCACACCAGGAGCATACTTCCTGTGACATTTTCAGGCCTCCCGGCCTGTTTAGGAATGCTGGGAGAAAATGCTTAGGATGCATGTCAGCACTGGGAATGCAGATCCCCTCAGGTCGGGATCCCGGACAGGGGGCCTCGATGCTGGACAAATGGCCATGCATGCGGGTGTGTGGGCAGGCTGGTGGTCGGCACAGCTGTGTGACTTGTGGGTTTCTGGGGCCTGAGAAAGGTCTAGGGAGCGGCAGAGAGCTGCTGACCTAAAATAACACTGATTCCCAAGGGTCGAGGGGGCCTTTTCGTGAGTGGCCAGAGCTGCTCTGGGGCTGAGCTGAGGGAGAGAGTTGGAGGTCGTACTGAGGTCAGAAGAAAAGAGGACAGACAGGGCCCTGGCACCCTCTCCTATCCTCAGGGGACATGGGACGTGCACAGCAAAGGGTCAGGATCAGACAGAACACAGCTAAGTGAGGGGTTAAGAGCTTCCCATGGTGGCCAGATGCAGAAGCCCCTGCCTCAGGGACGGACAATCATGACAGCACCCCACAGTCCTGATATTTCCATAGGGTGGGGGGACAGGAAGCGGATTCCCGGAGAGCTCAGCCGGGGCAGCGCTGTCAGCAAAGACCAGCAGTCTCCAGAAGCTGAGAGTGTGCCCGGCCTTGTGCCCCCTGAGCATGGCCACCCACCCACCCAGTCCTAGTGGTGCCAGATGTCCAGGCCTGTGAGGAGGCTGTCGCATGGGGCCAGAAATGTTCCAGCATCCTGGGCGGGGCTGGGAGGAGGGCAATGAGGCAACAGAATACCCCAGGCCTGTGCCCTCCACAGGACAAACACACACACCCCGCTCTGCCCTCCACGGAGCATACACACACATACACAGGTGTAGCATGTAGGCCTGTGCCCTCTGCAGGGTAAACACACTCCTAGGAGCCTGAATTCTCTTAAGGGACACACACGCACACACACGTACACACACATGCTCTTGTGGGCGTGACCACTCCCTTCTCCACACTCCAGCAAACAGAGCTGATGGCAAACTCAAGGCCACCAGACACCAGTGGACAGAACACAACCCGGTGGCTGCAACCTGAGGCCGCATGTGAGCTGGGGAGAGGCCGGCTCCATTCCAGCCCACGGGCCCTGTGTCCTTGCTGGCCTGGCCCAAGCTCCCACCTGGACTGCCCTTGGCGACCACGTAGCGTGAGCGGTGGGTTACGGGGCTTTATGATCACCATAGTCCTGGTGCCCTAACTCCATGTACAAGGTGTTTCTGCACCCAGACCTTCCACCCTGGGTGCCGGCATCCGAGGCCGGTGGGTGTATGAGGGTTGCAGGTGGGCTCACCTCTGGCTGGCCGCCAGGACATCCAGGATGTTGGAGAAGAGGTGGTGGTGGTCGGTCTGGGTCATGGTGGCCCGCAGTTCGCTGGACTTCAGGAACTCATCCACCAGGATGCCCAGGCTGTGCAGGTAGGAGAACTCAGAGGTGAGGATCTCAAAGATGGCCTGGCGAGAGAGAGAAGCCGGGTCTTGCAGCCACGCCATGCACGAGGGCTGCCAGGCTGGGTGTGGGTGGGGGCAGGACACGCAGACAGACAGCTGACTGGGCCTGCACGTGGGCCCTGTTATCCATGAGCATGTGACACTCGACCAGGACACACCCTGCCTCATCAGGAAATTGAGGGACAGTAGCCCCACTTGAGGGCTCTTGGAGGGTCAGGGATACTAAAAGGAAGGCTCAAACCAGGCCTGAAGAAGATGCCCACCCCAGGCTCACCAAGCGGATGGCATCACCGTGGTCAAGGTCCCTGTCCCTGGGCCACCACCATGTGGCTTAGCTGCTACCTGGGGCCACCTGCACCCTCACCTCTTGTCTCTTCCGCTCCTCAGCGGGCAGCGTGTCCAGAATGCCCGACTCCACCACCTGAGGACAGTCAGAAAAAGGCAGAGTGAGGTCCCACCTCCTGCACCTTCTCTGCCCTGCCCCCCATCAGACTGGAGCACACAGGGGGAAAAGAGGCCCTGGAAAGGCGGGAACTAGGCTGGGCCAGGCAGGGAATGACTGCAGGTCGAGGTGCTGGTCAGCCACCTGGCTGGCACGCACCATCGCTGCTCCGTGGGAAGACCAGCCTAGCACTCTTCTGGGAGCCCAAAGGGAAAGGCTGGCAGGCTCCTGATCTCATCCCAGGTTCTGGCCCAGGGATAGGGAGACAGGAGCCCCTCAGGAGCTGGTTGGGGCTGGTGCCCAGGACAAGCTGTGAGCGCTCAGTCAGAGCGAGCAGTGACTCAGACATCACCTGAGGCAGGTGAGTCAGGGCCCTGCAGCGGGACACTGGCCACTGCCCACCCCAGGCCTCCACTCTGTGGTCACCCAAGCTAGAGTGTGGCTCCATCTGGCCACTGAGCCATGTCCCTGAAGCACTGCGTCAGGCCCAGCCCGTCACACTGCCTAGCGTGATTGCCTTTGCAGGGCTACTCCCTGTGCTCACTTCCTCACAGGGCAGGGCCCGCTCTCCTGGGCCTCCATCACGCTGACCCTCCACAGCAATGGCCTAGAGCGTGAGGTGGACACAACACCACACACCATGGAGGTGGACAAGAGTCCCTTATGCTGCGGATACCCACTGACCAGGCTCTGCACAGCCAGGTACCACCCACCCCATCAAGAGTCCCACTTGCAGCCCCACCCCTCCTCTGCCTTCAGGATCAGGGGTCACCAGAACACCAGCCTCACCCTGCACTATCCACTCGGTCCCCACAGCCACACAGGACAGGACTTCATCCCGCTCTCAGGCGTAGGAAGAGAGGGGGGAGGGGCAGTGGCTGGGCTGTAGCCGCCCTCTCCTGCCCACCCTGGTAACCTTTCCTGGTGTGGCCCTTGGGAGGAAGGGGCTCTGTGCTCCCAGCTCCTGGCAGGTTAGCGTGAGCTCGAACGTGGACACGTCATCACGCCTACTCGGTGCTGGAGGATGGGCGTGCCTTTCAGTGCTCTCTACCCCCTCTGCCAGCCGGGCAGAGTGGCTCCAGGGAATCAAGAAGGATAAATTATGTTTACTGCATTGAAGCCGATGAGGGAGAGAATAGTTTAAAATGAATATATTTAGAGTCCGGAATGAGGGTTGCAGAGTGAAGTATACTCTGGGTGGGGGTGGGGATGTACGGGGGGGGGGAGGGGATCGTGCACAAATGAAGGAGTTTGTCTTTTATATTTTTCAAGGAGAGGAGTGAACTAGGGGAGGGGGTGGGTGTGGGGTGGGTGGGGAGAAAAGTGCAACAATGAATGAATGGAATTCCAAAATCTCTGTAGATCTGTAGATGTTCATTGAAATTAATAATAATAACAATAAAAAATGTTTAAAAAATCTACCAAAACTAAAAAAAGGTAACCCTGAGAGGTTAAAAAAAGTAGTTGCTAAAAAAATTGGTTATACAAAATCTTTAGTTTGTTTATATAAATATTTATTCATATGAAAAAAAAGGAGAGTCCCATGCACCCCTTTGTTTATTGCAGCTTTGTTCGCATAGCAAAGAGCTGGAAACAACCCAAGTGGCCATCAACAAATGAATGGATAGAGAAGCTATGGTATATTCACATAATGGAATACTATGCAACACTGAAAAGAAAGGATCTCATGAAATACTATGCAAAATGGGTGACCCTGGAGGACATTATGCTGAGTGAAATATCTCAGTCACAAAAGGACAAATACTGCATAGGGCCACTATTGTAAAACGGGACTGATGTCGGGATTGAGGGAAGACAGAGGAGGGCGTGAATGATGTATACTGCATTGAAACAGATGAGGGAAAGAACTGTTTAAAAGGGAAATATGAATGAGTATTCTTGTCATTACAGAAGTCCAGAGTGAAGACTGCATAGTGGAGTGGACTCGGGGGGGGGGGGGATTGCATAACAATGAAAGAGCTTTTCTTTCTTTTCAAGGAGAAGAGTGAATTGGGGGTGAGGAGGTGGGTAGAGAGAAAAGTGCAACAATGAATGACTGGAAACCCTAAGTCTCTGTAAACTTTCATGAAAATGAATTTAAATAAATAAATAAAAAAGGAGAGTCCCAGGCCAACCGGGCACTAACAAGTCCAAGGTCCAGTGGGCCAGAGAGATAGTCCTGAGACCCCACTACTGGCTGTCCCCACTCCACACTGGTCCTACCTCAGGGAGCTGGCTCCAGGTGACCTGGGCGGGCCGGTAGCACTTGACCACGATGGCGTCCACCTTCCGGGGACCTTCTGGGCTCGAGTCTTCAAGCACGTCATCATCCGACTCGTGGCTTGTGTTCAGGCCTCGCTCTCGGATCTCCTGATAGAGCCGGGGGTCTGTAGGGAATGGATGCTTCACCTGGGGGCCAGGCTGCTCAGAGTCCGGAGATCCAGGGCATACACAGTCTGAGCTCTCCTGAAGGGTCCTCAGAAGTGGCAGATGGCACAGGGCGCCCCAAAGCAGGCCACCCTCAGGCCAGCTGGCTCCCATGGTGGTGGAGCATGCAGCTGGTGGTGACTTGCAGAATGTGTCACCTCCAGCCAGGGTCCAGCTGACCAATCTGAGCAGAAGGACTTGGGGAAGCTCTGGGTGGGGCTGTCCCCACCCAGAGGAGTTGTGAGAACTCCGGGCTGTTTGACTTGGCCTATGTGAGGAGCTGAAGCGAAGAGTGGAGGAACTAGCTGGTCTAGAATGCAGGAAGATACGTGGACCCCTGAGTTTGTGGCTGCTGCCCACTGGACCTTGTCACAGAGGGCCAGGCCCCCCGGGCCCTCTGGTTGGGTGGCCTTGCTATCCTTCATGTTTCCCTACCTCCTCCTTACTTGGGGTGTCCCTTCTGCTCTTCTGGGAACTCCATTCCCCTTGATGCGCATGGAGAAAGCCTAGTGGTCCTGTGACCCCATTCAACAAAACTCTAGACACGCAGGATGGCAGGGTCCCCCTGGACGGGCTCACCATTTGACCTGAAGCCTCATGACAGAACCAGACAGCAGCCTGGCCCTTGACACCCACATCCTCCTCGGCTCCGCACACCTTTTCTTGGCTTGAGGGACACTTTGAAAGCTTCCACTTTCCCCATGAGGGTCCTGTGGGGACCTCACCCTCAGCAGACTTCCTCTACCCTCTCCCTACACCCAACAGAGGCCCCTCTCTGTCACCTCTCCCATTAATCAGGCCCATCTTCCCTGGCCTTGGCACCCCCACCACACACACAGGCCCTCTAACAAATATCTCCTGGGAGCTCCATCTGTCCCGTCTCTCTTGGAATTGCAAGAAGTGTCTGTAGTGAATGAATGTTCTAGACCTTTCCAGAACCATCAGCATAGGACTCTGAAGCAGAAATATCCCAGCAAGCAGGTCCTTTACGCCACCAGCCTAGACTGAGTCTGTAACCCAAGACGGCCACAGCCTGAGCCCAGTCTCCTTCCGCAGCTCACTCACCGTCCTTGAAGGAGCCCTTGTGTGCCCGTTTCCGGCCCAGCGTTTTCTGCAGCAAATGAGAGAGACTCTGTGTTAGTGAGGCTGTGAGTGGGTGTGGGTGTGTCTATGGTGAGTCGTCTATCCCAGCCCAGAGACCCCATCCTCAACAGCTATCAGTCATGCAGAAGACACTCAGAGAGTCACCTGCACCATAAAGAGTGACTCGGGGTGACCAAGTGGGGCCAAGCGGGCTGGATCAAGGTACAGTGTGAATTCAGAGCAGGAAAAGCTGATGCCCATTAAGAGCCCCATTCCAGGACCGAAAGTTAAAGGGAAATGGTGAGTATTAGCACTCTTGGTGACCACCTGTTTCCACTTGATAAGCAGAAGTGGGAGTCGCGCAGCAATAAAGAGAGGGGCTGAGTTTGGATGTGTGTCATCGTCAGCTCTGTGGACCTCGTCTGCATGGTAAGTGAAGAAAGGTCGCTGGCCAGAGGAGGAGGGAGTTGTGAGGACTCCTGACTGGCTGCCTTAGCCCATGTGAGGAGCTAACGCTAAGAGCGGAGGAACTAGCTCATCTGGAATGCAGGACGATATGTGGACCCCGAGTGTGTGGCTGCTGCCCACTGGACCTTGTCACAGAGGGCTAGTTGAACCCAAGACGCTGAAGATGTTTGCTGCTGAGACCTGGAGCTGCGTCAGCGCTGCAATCTGATGGCTTGCTCTGGACTGGAGAGATGCAGATGCTGAAAGTTCAAGCAGAGCGGAAGATTCTTGAGACAAAGCAATGTGCTTGTTTCCTCAGAGCGCTGGTTTGATAGGATGGGTAAATTAGAAATTGGCTATCTAAATTGAGGGAGATCAAGGCACGAGGCCTGAAGTAGCTGACTTACACGCCTTCATGAAGGCAGTAAGGTGATTGTAAGGGGAAAGTGAATTCTTCATGTATGAAGCTTAACAGCTAGAAAAGCCAGCGAGTGGTCTGTGAGGTCAAGGGTCTGTTGTTCAAAATGGCTTTCCTAGCCATTGACTTTGACTTTGCCACAAGAATGAGCAGGAACGTGCAAATAGGGCGTGTTTGTTGTCCACAAGAGCATTGGCTAGTCCTGCCATTAAACTGAATGGATTCAGCAGCAGAGATTGGAAATCTTAACACCAACAAGAAAGAGGCACACATCCTTTGGGCCAGACCTGCAGGAGAGCAACAGCAGCCTCAGCAGAGAACCAGAGACCTGACATGAGACAGAGCTGACCTGGGGACTGCTGCTCCGTGGAGCCAGCCTTCAACCCAGGCTTGCTGGAGGAAGCTACTGAGACTGACCCAGGGCAGGCTTCAGAGCTGCTATATATAGATAAGGTTGCTATGGGCCACAGGCGACTTGACAGTACATAACAGCAACAACATCCTGTTGCCAACTTGAATTATAGCCTGTTAACTTCCCTAATAAACGCCATAACTGCAAGTATGGTGTTGTAAAGTTTGAGTAGCCATTGCAACAGGTTTCAGGCCCAGTAGAGGCAGTAAGATTGGTGTTAGAAGTAGGTGCAGGAGCGTGGGAGACCGTATCTCACCTTATAGTTATTAATTTTGTACTGTGGATGTTGTTAAGGAGGACGGCTCCCCTTTGTGGGGTTGGTAGAAGTCAGACCTGCCTATCTTCATGCTGCCTACGCTCTTTTTATAGAGAGGCAGGATACCGAAGGCTGGTGAGTCCAGGAGAGCGGCTTGGAGGAGGCAGCAGGGATAACACAATGCTGGAAAGGGGATGAGGACCTTGGGAGTACAAGTGGGCTTAAGGAGAAGCCAGGCAGTGTTAGAAAGCAATGACATCAGTTTAAAGCCTATGGTGTGCTTGATCCAAGTCATGGTAATTTCAGGTACTTCGCATACATCTGAAAGTTAGACAGTGAATAAAGACAACATAACAATAATCAATGCCTAAGTGGTGTTGGACAAGAGTACTGAATATTTCACGGTCGATCAAAAGAACAAAGTAGTCTGTCTGGAGGAAGTGTAACCAGCGTGCTTCTTCGAGGCAATGATGCTGAAGCTTCACCTCACATGCTCTGGGCATGTTGTCAGGAAGGGCCAGTTCTTGGAAAAAGACATCATGCTGGGAAAGGTGGAGGCCCAGAGGAAGAGAGAAAGCCCTTCAATAAGAAGGATTAACACACACACACAAAAAGAAGGATTAACACAGTGACTACAATGGGCTTGAGCGTATTGTAGACAGGATGGTGTAGGACAAAGCAAGGTTCAGATCTGTTGGGTCGCTATGAGTCATAGTCCATTTGATGGCACACAGACCTAACAGGGAAGGACAGGATGACTGGGACACAGGCTGGGGCTGTGGGCTCAGGCGGGGGTCAGGGACCTAGGGTGGCAATTAACTGGGAACTGGTCACAATGTCAGGCACCCAGCAACTGCGGGCGGAAGGTGAGGAGGTGGGGGGAGTGTGGGTGGAGGGCTCTCAAGGCCCACAGCTGGGTGCCCAGCACAGACCGCCCTTCTTGGCTGAGACCCACCACTTCCCCCAGCTCGAAGGTGTGCTGCTTCTGGGAAGGCAGGGGATGGCTTCTCCGACAAGTCAGGGCCTGAAACTCCCCAGGCTGGTCCGGGACGTGCATGCTCCCAGCAGCACTGGCCTCCTACCCTTAGCCCTACATGCCCTTGGGCCTCTGAGCGCCCCCACCTCCGCCTCCAGGTTTCCGCATTGACTGTGGCACCTGCTTGCCTTCCTTTTTTTTTTTTTTAAATAATTTTTATTTATTTATTTATTCTTTTTTTTATGTGTGTACCGTCAAATTGGATCTGACTGGTACAGGAGGTGATTGTTCCTCCTTCAGCAGAGCATCTGGTGGATTTGAACTGCGCATCTCTGGGATTGCAGTGCAGTTTCCTACCACTAGGCCACCAGAGCTCACCTGCTTGCCTTCTTTACTTATTCCACTCGTCTTCCTCTGGGATCCCCAGGCCGTGGATGCCCCTCTGCAGAGGTCCCTGCCTGCAGTCTCCCATTTGCCCTGGAAGCTGAGACGCCCAGCCTCCAGCACACAGTAGGCATTTAGGGAGGCATTTGCTGAAAGCAGAAGGAATCCATGGACTGCCTTATGTCTGCAGGTGTGGCCTGGGTGGTGCGGGCAGGTGGAACACCAGCCCCAGGGTGCATGGACAGGAGCAGCAGAAGTCCAAGGCAGGTGCTGGACCCAGCCAGGTAACTCTTTAGACTAAGGGGTGCTGGCAGCCCTGCATATGACTTTAGTTCATAGAATTCATAATGGTCACCAGGTCACCATTAGGTCTGGGTAGGAGCTGTGGCACTGAAGGCCATAGGGCATGGGCAGCCATACGAACAGAGGCCACTGCTCAGCATGCCTCTTACGCTGTACCCTGTGTGGCCCTCAGCCCCTGGGACCACATGGTCTTCTCTCTAGATGTCCAGGAGGACCCTGTCATTTACACTTACAGATGGTGACACTCGGGAAGGTTCAGAATTGCCAAGCTCACAGGCAGCAAGGCTCGCCCCAGGCATTGAGCCCTGGGGCAGCTTCCCGATGGGCCTGGGGCCAGGCTTGTTTTGTGCTTCATTCCCGAGAACTTTCTGGGCTTTCCTAGGTTGCTGAAGAGGCCCCAGTGGGCTGGTTCTGCTGGCGTGGTCAGCTATCGTATGCTGTCTGCTGCTAGGCAGACGCCAGGCCCAACAGGGCAGGAAACCATGCCGAGGTGCCTGGGGCCTGGACTCCATTCACATGGCCTCTCAGCTGGTGGCTGGCTGCCAAGGCCAGTCCTAAGCGAGGCAATGGACTTGGGAGTCCAGACACCCAGGGACGTCCACCCCACCTGCATCACAGGTGCCTGAGGGCCGGCTGCAGGGGGCATGCAGACCTGAGCTGGTGGCCCACCTCTCCTGACCTGGAGCAGACACATGCTGACTGACCACAGCCAGCGCATTACAAACTCATCACGGGCACCTGTCACTCAGCCATTATTTTGGCAGAGCGCACAAATGTGCCTGACAGGAAAGCCACCAGAGCTGGGACCTGGGGGAGGTCTTCACTCTTCCTCAGCTGCCTCATCTGTGAAAGGGGTACAGTGGTCCTTAGACAGCCTGAGCACTGGGCCCACCTGAAACGACATGCCGGTCAATGTTGCAGGGTTAGTTCCAGACCACAATAAAGCTCATCATATGAATTTTTTCAGCTGTCCAGTCCATGTAAGAGTTAGGGAGCCCTGGTGGCTGGGTGATAAGGAGTCGTACTCTCCTCAACACAAAGGCACATTGGTTGAATCCAGCTGAAACCTGCTGGCGGGTTAGCTATGGGTCGGTTCTGACTTGGCGGTACTCAATAACCACACAGTCCATAAAGCATTGTGAAAATGTCTGAAAGAGGGGGAGGGTTATCAAACTGACACACGGACAGGAGGTGGTCACCTGCTGTTGGAAAAAAAAGGGCGCTGATGCACTTGCTCAACTTAAGAGCTGCCGAAACATTAGTCTGCAAAAAAAACTGCACCATCTGTGAAGTGCAAATAAGTGAAGCTCAAGAAAACCAGGCGTGGCCACACAGCCGGGCACCTGCACATGATAGATGACTAGAGAGCGGCTAGGTGGTGATGAAGGTGATGGTGATGGTAAGACCCACCCCGCACCCGCCAGCTCCGAGCTGCACAGGCCTCTGCCTCGCCAACATCCTTCAGCTTCTTCAGCCAGGCAGGAGGCCTACCTTGTGCTTGGGTGGACACCGGGCCCGCGGCTGGCTGGGCTCTTCGGCCAGGGCATAGAGCCGGGGGCTGAGCTGGGTAGGAACCTTCTCCCTGGCCGGAGCCTCTGGGCCCTTCATGGCTGCCCGATAGGACTGGTTGCGTAGGTTCCTCTTCAGATGGCCTCCAGAGTCCATGTCCACATCCATGTCATCCCGGGAAAAGCTGGGGTTCTGGGAGAGCCGGGGGTCCTTCCGGGCGGCCTCCTTGGTGAGCACGGCGGCGGCGAAGCTCTGGTGGCGAGCTGGGACCTTCGGCTTGCTGCACACGGCCAGGGTCTTGGGGATCAGCTGCTCCGTGCCCAACTTGAGCGCGGCGGGGCTCTGCGTACTCAGGATGACCGGCCGCGATTCCGAGTCTGTGGGGGGCGCTGGGGCCTCGGGCTGGGAGGCAGCCGCATCTTGAACCTTGAGGGTGCTCCGGACAATGGGAAGCCCGGGTGCTGGATTGCCATTGGCATCGAGCCGCAGCTCAGAGTGGAGGCGGTATTCCAGAAGCTTCTCGTCCAAGCAGCTGTCTGAGTAGCGACAGGACATCCTGGACAGCCTCGGGGACCTGGGGAAGGGACGGAGCAGAGATGAGGGCAGCCCATGAGGGCACTGTGCCACTGCATCGGTGGGATGGCCGCCCACTGCCCTCCTGCCCATCCGGCCCCACCGGCTTCTCCTCACATTCACACTGCCCACTGTCCCAGGCAGCTGCCAGGCCACCATGAGCTCCACTCATGACCACTAGGGCCTCCCTGGGGCCAACGGGCTTATCTGACAACTGCAGGGTCAATGGTGGGCTGGGAGCCAGGCTGCAAGTTCTCTACAGGGGTGGGGGTGAGGGCTGTAAGGCTACCCCGTGCATCCAATGAGCTGCAGTCCTGAGCCTCCTGGGGCAGCTGGCCTGCTACTTGGCTCCTGGGAGGACTCCTTATAGTCACTATGGAGATGACCCTGCTGACCCGAGGAGCCGCCTGAGCAGGTGATGGGGAGTGACCACAGCCTTAGCTTTTACAGCCTTTGCTTTATGGCAACTCCCCAAAGACCCCAACTGACTGCTGTGAGGGTGAGGGGCATGGCCGAGCCTGGTCCTGGAGGCACTGTCTTACTTCTCACTGTGCAGTGGATGCCATGAGGCCCCGGGGGAACCAGCCCCAGCCAAGGACAAGCCTGACCGGGATGGGCCTGCTCTGTTGAGGTCTCTTGTCATCGCCGCCCCACGTAGCAATCCAGACAGGCCAGCCTCCAACGTGGCCTCTTAAGTGGCAACAACACACACCTTCATCCACCAGCATTCCTGAGCTTGGAATGTGGCTGACATCCCTGCCTCAAGGACTGTCTGGGACCTAGTCCAGGAGGGCCACCACACCTCGTCACCGGGGCTCAGAAACACAGCAGCCAAGGTGGCACGTACAGAATCGCAACCCCATGCCCACGGCCCCGGGACACTCTGCCTGGCACAGAAAGTAGCAATGGTGCCACCCATGAGCTGACTCTTGAGTGCTCCAGCCCATTCCTCCTGGCATCACGTGTCCCCATTTGTCCCTCAACCCTGAGCCCACCTACCCCTGGTCCTCTTGTCACCCCCACCATCCCACCTCTGGTTCTGGCACAGTACAGCCCCTGACACCCAAAGGCCCGTCTCCAACAGTTCCCTCTCTTTCCGAGTACAAGGTGGATGCCCTTCCTGTCCCTTTGGGGAGGGTGTGGCCTGTGACTTCATCTGGCCAATGACACATGATGTAAGGAAAAAGGACATGAGTTCCTCCCAGGCAGGGACTTTAGGCACCTGTGTGTGATCTGTCATCTGTTCTCCAGCTGTGCTGATCAAAGTGTGAGGACAGCACTGGCTGGTGGCCCTGAAAGCCTGAGACATGCCCAGCCTCCCTGCTGACCTCAGATGGACCAGGGATAGGAAGTGAGGCTCTGTGGATGAAGCGTCCTGGGCACTAGTTAGTGCAATGAAATTGGATTCATCCTGATAGCACAGTGCTTGGCTGAGAGTGTATAAGGCCATGGGCCACTCATATATACTCCTCACCCCCTGGGACAGTCAGGGCCACTACTCGGTCTTGGCCACTGTGTTCTGAGGGTCTATTCTCCAAATGTCACTGTTGGGATAAAGTGTGTCCTCGTGTCCTCTTGGATACATATGGTAAAATTCAAAGCCTGGTCTTGGAAACTGGCCTTGTTTGGAAATCAGATCTTTGCAGATATAGTTGGTTTACAAGAGGACACAGTGGAGTAGGGCAGACCCTAGTCTCTTTATGGCCTGTGACCTTATCCTTCTTGTCATCAGAGCTAACTCAGCTTCACAGCTCAGGGGTCTTTTCAGTGCAGTAAATCACACAACAGGGATTAGAACGGTGCTGCCGCAAGCCAAGGAATGTCAGGGACCCCTAGAAACCAGAAGGGCAAGGAGAAAACTTTCCCTAGATCATCCAGACTGCCAAAAGAACAAGCAGATCTGTCTTGGAGAGAGTGCAACTGGAGTGCTCTTTGGAGGCAAGGATGAAGAAGTTTTGCCTTCTTAAACTTTGGGCATGTTGCTAAGAGGGGCTGTTCCTTGGAGATGGACATGATACTTGGAAGGATGCAGGGTCAGTGAAGAAAGGAAGATCCTTACGCAGGTGGACTGACACGGTGACTGCTGCAACGGCCTCCAGTGTGTCAGGAAGTGTGAGGATGACACAGGGATGGAGTTCAGATCCACTGTTCATAGGGTTGCTGTAAGTCGTACTTGACGCGACGGCACCTAACAACAAGCAGACCGTCCAGAACATGGCCCCACGGACCTCCTCCAGCACACTCTCAGCCTCCAGGCTGTGACAGCATGAATGTCTGTTGCTCAGGTCACTCACTGTGTAGCACCTTGTTACCACAGACCCCAGCTCATTCTGCAGGGATCCACAGGGGCTCCTAGCATACTTAGGGTTTGGGGGGGAAAGCGGCATCGTCAGTGAGTGATGCCAGCTCTCTTCGCCTTGGTTTCAAATCCTGTACAATGGGGATGATAGAGTAACTTTCACTTCCTGAGGGTACTGTGGTGCACCAGGGTGGTGCAGACAGTTAAGCACTCAGTTCACTCAGGGGCATCGCAGAAGAAAGGCCTGGCAATCCACTGCCTTAGAAAGCAGCCCTTAACCCACAGAGCGCAGTTCTACTCTGACACACACGTAGGGTCGCCAGGAGTTGGAAGTGGCTCCACAGCAGCTGGTGTGGGGAGGATCCTGCCAAGAATCAGGGAGCTAGTCAGAGCCGAGTGTGTAGAACAGAGACTGCACCGTGGGGTTCCTTCCGTGCGGCCGTGACCAATCAGAGCTGGCACGAGGCTGGCCACGTGTCAAACTGAGCAAAGTTGGGGCCAAAACGTAATATGAAGACGACTCTGTTGATTGTTTCCCTTTTATTCTCCTAAAAGCGATGAAACCATGATTCCCCTAGGTCTCCTGCAGACCCAGAGCTCTGCCAGCATTAAGGTGGGGAAGTCCACAGAGGTGGGCATCTGTTTTTCAGGGAGAAACTGAGGCCCAGTGTCCCAAGCGCCTGCCCAGTGCCCTGCCTGGAGCTTACCCTGGGTGGAGGTAACAATACTTCCTGTTTACCATGGGGACTTGTCAGTGAAAGCCAAGCTTAGTTGCACTGCTGCTGTTCTCTGGAAATGAGGTTTAGGAACAAGACCATCTTGTGTCCTGTCCAGGGGTGGGGAGACCAGGACTGTGGGAGGTGCTGGGATTCCAGATAAAAGCTTCAGAGGCCACCGGCTCCGGGAAGCACCAGCAGGTCCCAGCCCCTCCATCCACAAACTCACTGCCAACCTGCCACATGACTGACCTAGATCACAGCACAGTCAGGGGCCACCATGGGGCACCCAGGAAGTCAGGCTCATGTCCCCGGTCAGCAGCAGAACCACCACGTTCTCGGATAAAAACAGAAATCACAGAAAAGTGTGCAAGGCTGAGTCTGTTTGGGGCCCAAAGAGGGGCCGCCACAGAGCTGGGCTCCCCCACACCGGGAGGACAGTATACACATTCCACAGAACATTCCAGGGTCCGAGGACAACAGCTGCCACACCACCCTCCCCTGGGAGCTGGGGCTGTGAAGTGCGGCCCAGATGGGCCCAGGCCTGGCTGGGAGGGTGTCTATAACCCCAGGGCTCATTCACCCAGAATAATGCTGCTGCTGGCATGTCTACAGGGCGTCAAGCCTGGCTGGGAAGTGGGTTTGTTTTAGGCTTACATTGGTACACACGCCAAGCAAAATGCACCCACAGAGGCAACCAGAAGATGCTTACACTTCAGTGCTGTCTTTTTAGTCTAAATGTGATTTCCCTTACAAAGGTGCCCGGGTGGTGTCACGGTTATAGGCTTGCCTACAAACTGAAAGGTTGGTGGTTCAAGTGGCTCCACAGTTGATAGGCCTGGTGATCTGCTATTTAAAGACAACAGTGCCCTAGGGAAGGAACCCAATGGGGCAGTCACATGGGGCCATGATGAGTCAGAATCGACTCGATGGCACCGAGTCACACAACAACATAACTATTTACCTTGGAGGAACTTTGCCCTGTTATTAGGAGCTGGCAGGATCGAAGCCCAGCAGTACGGTGGCACCTCACTGCCCACCAAACAAATGTCCTCTCATGTCCACAAGTCTCCTGCACAGAGCTTCCTGGCTGTCCACACCCCTGCCCTAGTCACAGCTTTGCTGACATCCCAACCCCAGGTCAGCTGTCTGCCCAAGCCCAGCTCTCCCTAACACCAGACCTGGGTGCACAGTCTACTGGCTGCGACGGCCTCTTCCCAGGTGAGGGCAAAGTCTGCTCCTGGGGCTGAAGGCACCCAAACGGGGGAACCTGTTGGGCCGGCCATTGTCGGGTGTGACCTCTGTTCCCAGCTAGGTGGCCGCACCCAAGGCCCAGAAGCCACTGCCTGGAGCTCATATTCTGCCTGGCATGGGGGCCAGGACAGGAAGAACGGGAGCCATGGAGGGATGTGGACAGCAGATCCCCACTTGGCACTAAGCAGAGTTAGCAACCCTCTAGGATGTGGCCTTTGGGGGCTGCAGCTGGAGCAATCCAGTTGTCACCAGGTTGACCCAGCTTGGAAACCCCATGTGAGTCCGAGTAGAACTGTGTTCCAAGGGATTCTCAGGGGCCACCAAGTCTTTGTTCCAAGGTGCTTCTGGGTAGATTCAAACCACTAACCTTTGGGATAGCAGCTAAGTACCTTGAGAGTGTGTTCCACCCAAACCATAAAAACCAAACCAGTCGCCATGGAATTGGTTCCAACTCATGGTGACCTCTTGTGTGTCAGATCAGAACTGTGCTCCACAGGGTCTTCAAGGGCTGGTGCTTTGGAAGTAGATCACCAGGCCTTTCTTCCGAGGTGCCTCTGAATGAGTTTGAAGCACTCATATCAATCATATTAACTGCCTGCTCCTCTCAAAACCGAGAAAAGCAAGTCAGTTGCTGTGGAATCGATCTCAATCACATCAGACTACAGCTGTCAGCTGTGTGTTCACAGGGTTTTCAATGCTGGTTTTTTGGATAG